AACTAAAACTATTCGATTTTATTCACTGCTTTTTCTTCTCTGTTTTCCGCTGGAAAAAAAAGCTTGTTGTTTTTGAGCATGAAAAAATTATGTCCAACTGGAAAATATTCAGCATTTTACAACTGATGATCAAATGGGGATGGCGGCTGTTGCTCAATATCGAACCCAAACGCATGTTGCAAATTAGTTTTAGGCTCCATCCACTTGGTTATAAAAAGCTTGTCCAACTGGTACTGTTTTCTCGCCCAGCGCCAGAAACAACCTTTAATACTTTCGAAGCGTTCGAAACATGGCAGATACGACAGATCCAGACGAGTTTCATTCTGCGGTCGCTGCAAGTTGTTTTCTTTTCATTTTATTTTCAGTGTAATGAATTGGCAAGTTTGCCCTCTAATGTGGAGTACTTATTTTCTGAGCATTTTGCTGGAGCATTCGTATTCTAAAATAGCCAAATTGAGCTCAGCAATAGCGGAGCTTGCATTTCCGTCCATAGGTTTTTTGATTTGTCGAAGTGTTTTACTAAAGCGGTGAACATAGGACTCAATAATAATTGCATGAATCATCAGGCACATTTACATAGACAAATAAAGTTTACATTACGAAAGATAAATGGAAAAGAATATTTTTGTAACCTACAGCTACAGCCCCGGCGTGTGTTTTTGAAACAAACTAGCAAATAAATTTAAGGGCACTATAAATTATGTCCGTGGTAGGCGAGTAAATAAGGCTGAAAAATTCGCGGAGACAATATACAATTTTGCCCTAATTTTCTGTTTATTCAGTGAAACTTTGCACATTTTTTACTAAAATTTGCGTCCGTCTAAACAAACTTTTGTGGCTCTTGACCAATTTTTCGCGTTTTTCATTTCTACATGGATGATTTTGGTGTTTTCACAATGGAAAAAGAAAGATCTGACCCCCTTCGTCTCTGATATGACATTTTTTTATGAAAAGTAATCTGACAATGTAAACGATATTCGCACTGCTCAACTGAAAAAGAAGCCGAACATGATTTTCATGCGGAAAAAAACCCACCTGGTCGCAAAATATCAGGCACTTCTGTCGAGCCAGTGTTGTGGCAACCCCATTCATTGTACAGCACTGACGATGATCACGACCACGTGCAGCACAAAAATGAATATCGTTCGCTGCTAACAGTGGGCATGGATCAATTTGCAGAAACATACTTCGAAGCTGGAACCATACTCATTTAATGGTGTACTTGAGACGAAGAATGCGTTACACATTATATAGCATTAGTCGATAAAACTCTGGAGCAAAATGGTGTTTCCCGAAGAAGCTCAAAAACAGAAGAAATGCAAAAAATAAGTCAAAAACCAAGTAGATGACGGGAAGAAAAATTAGAAAAAATGAATGAAATATTTAGCTAGAAACGACAGAACCAGTTCACAGTGGTAGAATATATTTCGAAAGAAATGATAAATGAGATTCGAGAAGTGGCACACCACATCGGGACAGGAGTGAACGTTAGCAGAAATTGGAATGCTGCTTCTTTTTTAGGACTTTAGCAGTTAGCTACTAACATAAACTACCAGTTTATAAAAGATTAAAATAAATGGAGAAAATGCGAAATTTTGGCAGACATAAAACTCGAAGTTGAATACGGATAGAATTAGCAAAGACAACCTATAAGCACAACAAACAGAAACATCAAATAGAAATAAATAATACACGGGCGAAAACATACAGCATTTTGATTGTAGTTGGCATATGAACATTTGTTCAAGCATGGGTCCGGTAAATCTCGTCTACGACAACATTCCAGAAATTCATCATTTTCATCATGGATCTATAAAAGCACTTTTTAATTTTGATTGTGTCTGTTGCTGAATTTGAAAGAATCTCTCCAAAAATTTATCTAACGAGACTATATTTACTCAGTCAGTCCGATAACAATTTATTGGGTTCCTACCCTCATGCCGAGTTCGGTCTGTGTCTACAGCTAAGAAATGGAAAACAGACTGCTTCCTTACATGTCTTCATTGCACGTGACATTTCGTTTGATTTCTTATCTCCTATCCTAATATTTTCGTCACAGAAAAAAAGTGCTATACTGCTCGCCATGCCTTAAGAATTTTCAGAAACGTTAATCGAAAAAAAATTAAATAGTAATTTAAAATTTAAATGCGAAAATATATATTACGGCAAATACATTATACAACAAGCGGGAATGTTAAAGTGCCAGTAAATTTTCAAAATAAAGAAAAAAAAA